CAGTTTCGGTTTTTCTGCTGCGCGCACATCTCCGATCTCACCGCAGGAATGTTAAACAATATGCTTTTTTGCTATTTTATAGCCTTCAATCAACTATATCTTTGCCGGAATCAGAGTTCTGGGAATATTAATTCTTTATCCGCTCAACCGCTTAATTCAATTTGTTTTTTATCACAGTTCAGGTAAGCGGCACGTTTATTGTTATCTACACGATCAAAACGGGTTTCGCATTGCTTCTTTTCACTCACTGTTGTTGCCCATCTTCAAGAGGTCGGCTGATGGAGAATTTAAACCGGTACACCGGCTCGAACGGCTGCTGGAGAGTTGCTCGGCAATTGCCTTCTTCGCGGGAGGAGATCAAAGCCTGTTTCCGTTTCTTCCGAAGCGGAATCACGCCAACCTAACACTCCCTCTTAGGCGCTGCTGCCTGCTTGTCCCCCCCCCCCTCGCTGGGGAGCGATGCGTTGGGCTAGAAACTGGCCAAACTGTCAAAAGCGGCCGTCGCCCACTTCGCACAAAAGTGAAAGTGCGTCAGTCCTCCATCTTAGCTCGACCGGAAGCCCTCCCCCCTTCCCTCTTCTTGACAATAATGAGGAGGAAAAAACCCCTGAGAACAGCGTTGGCCCGTATTTTCTTTGCAGCCAAGGCAAATAGAGCAATTCTATAGGATACATTGACATTGAAATCAGCTAACAAATATACTTAATAGTATGAAAACTGCTGATCATTTGACTGTTTATAGAATTATGAAACACGCAAAAAAAAAATGAAACTCTGCAGTTCTAAAAGACATACATGGTCCCGTTGGGATGAAGACTACGAAACAATTTTGTAATCTGGAAAACTTCGTTAACTTTATTTTTTTGGACCTCTTCTTGCACTTTGATATGTGTTGCTGTAATAAATGCCTGACTGACACTTTGATATGATTTTGGAAGTTTTCATAATATATTTTGTAATTATTGACTTTGGTAGTATTATTTAGCAGCCACGAAATGGCTGCCACAGCTTACCTACAGTCATACTGCCAAGATCTTTGTGTTGTGATGGTGGCTGCTGCCAAAGCAAAGTTTTTAAAAATCAGCACAGCCCATCAAATCTCCAGCGGCCAATCAGAAGCCTTGCAGGGCAAAAGCCCCCCCTGGCCCTGCCTACTTTCTAAAAAAACCAAACCTTGGTGGGTGTCAGGACACAGAGAGGAGGGAACGCAGGGCACTTGCTTCCTCCTCCTCCTTGCAGCCCTAAACCTGGGCTTCCTAAGCCATTATGGAGAAGGAGTTCCTGTCTTCAGATAATGGAGCTTGTATCCCGGCCAAGCCCTAATTCTGTGGAGTTCCATCCGCTTTTGGCTGTCCCTGACACAGACCCTCAGTTGCAGTCCGGGGCTGCTGTCTCTGCAGTAGCAGCCTTACAATGCCCCCACCCACATCCAGGCCTGTAGCTTACTTAAAGGCACAGCCCCACAAGAATTCTTCCTCTAGGCATTGCTAACCCAGAGCCATAAGCTTAAGTATCCACAGGTCTATAGCTTATGGTGGGGCTTCTGGGGGCTCCGCCCCCTTTCTTAAAGGCACAGCTCCACAAGAATTTCCCCTGTAAATGCTCTTTTCAATCATTTTAAAACATTTTTAAAGGCACGTGCTCCTCTAAGCAGAGTGGGGTGCTGTAGTTGACTAATTCCCACACTGAGCAAGGGGGTTGGAGTAGGTGACCTCTAGGATCCCTTCTAACTCTGTGTCAAGAAACCGGTCTCCTTTAAGAGAGTTAGCTCTCTTGCCTACAAAAGTAATCACCTCCACCTGCTGGGTTGTTAGCAGAACTGTTGCTTAGGCTGACAGAAGTGATTAACTTGCGGCAGCTGAGAACTGTCATCTAAAGTGGCTGACAGCTTGCAGTTTAGAGATCTATCCTGGTAACAGTTTTCTTTTGCCTAAATGGCTTTTTCCCCCCTGCACTGAGAACTTCAACCTCAGCAGAACAGCAGAAAAAAAACCCTGCCCCACAAGCCACGAAAACCTGACTACGGGCCTGCCCCACCCCCTTGCCTTCCACCCCTGACAGGCACAGTGAGGTAGCCACTGCTCTCACTGATTACAATGCTTGGCTGAGAACCATCCTTTGTGGTAGGCACATCTGGCTGCCGTCCAAGTCTCCTCGATGCCCAGGCACCTGATTCCTGGAGCTGCACTCAAGCTCCCCTCATCTCTCCCGCAGGGGTGGTGTCTCCTGTTCCAAAGGAGGCTATGGAGGAGCCCAGGTAAAGGCCCATTCTGCATCTAGCATTCGCTCCGCTGTTCTACCAAACCCACATTCAGATACCCCGGGGGGGGGGGCATACTGACTGCAGAGCCACCCCCCGAATGGCCATAAAACGACCATAAATCTATGCAGATGGCTACCATAAAACCAGAGGTCAAACGAAGTGAAAGCGGCGTGCAGTCTGGACACTGCCATAAAGTCCGACAATCGATCAGTGAAAGTGGCATGCCATGTAGAGGGTGATTCCTGTTCCAGCGTGGGTTTGGTAAGACAGCGGAGCCAATGCCAGATGTAGCATGGGTAGAGATGTAAAATTTCCGGAAATTGTGAAGCTCGGAAAAAACCCCGTTTTTCCCCCGTTTTTTTCCAGGGAGAAACGGAAATTTTCGGAAA